TGAGAATTCCCTGAAAAATTCTCCCTAAACAAAAGCATGAGCAAAGTGTTCAAATGTTTTGTCTTCCACACAACAGAACCGACAGCCCGTTTGTTGGTTCAGACCTATCTTTACTAGGGGGTATCCCCGTCAACAGTCCTGGTAGGACTACATTCTAAGGATCTGGAACTCGACTTCAACAGCAGCCAGGCTGTCCATATCGCTAAAATATGGATATGGTATGGTTTGTGCACGATGTATCAAAAATTAAAAAGTCAATACAATAAAATCAACAGACCTTTTCAATATTTGACATTGAAAAAACCATATCATATCAAAAACAAGATTTTTCAACTATTTTTGAAAATCCGACAACATTACAGAAGTAAATGATACTAAAGTGCATTGACCTCTGATCAATGATTGAAAAATGATCTAAGCAAAGTTTGAAATTCATCAACTTGCTACTTTTATACAGTGTGTCCCACTTACCATGCTCACCATGGGTATCTTTTTAACGGTGAGAGATACGAGGTCGGTTAAATGACACCAAATATGGAGTTTGTCAAGGCCAACTATAATGTGAAAAAATATTTTGATAAAATCTATTCGTTTTTGTTTTATATGCAAAAAACAGATTTTGATCATTTTCTTCTTTATGAAATTATTCAAATAGGAATTTCACATTCTCATGGCAGTTTTTCAAAGTGATTTCGAAAAAAATATGGAATTTATACCAACTCTTCTAGAATTTGAGATATCAGCACCAACTTTAGTTTTTCAAATGTAGGTCATAGCTCACTATGACTAAGTTACAAATAACTTTTTTTTCTCTTACAGATGATATGTCGCAGTAATAGTTTTGTGTTGATAACAAGGGAGTTATCGTCATTTATTCAAAAACAAAAAATTATTTGGAAGCTGCCATCTTGAATTTATTAATTTTAACAAAAAAATCATGATCTCCGACCTCAAGAACCCCCACTTACCAATTTTGAATGGGATCGGACCAAATCTTGTCCGCCATCTTGGAGCAGCCATTTCCATAACTCCGATTAACCTGAAATTTGGCAGGTGTTCATAATTTCGGTGACAATACATTATGGAATTTTTGTTGAAATTGAAAAAAAGTGGCTGCTCCAAGATGGCGGACAAGATTTGTCCGATTCCATTCAAAATTGGTAAGTGGGGGTTCTTGAGGTCGGAGATCATGAATTTTTTATTAAAATTTATAAATTTAAGATGGCGGCTTCCAAATAATTTTTTGTTTTTGTATAAATGACGATAACTCCGTTGTTATCAACACAAAACTATTACTGCGACATATCATCTGTAAGAGAAAAAAAATTGTAACTGAGTCATAGTGAGCTATGACCTACATTTGAAAAACTAAAGTTGATGCTGATATATCAAATTCTAGAAGAGTTGGTATAGATTTCATATTTTTTTAGAAATCACTTTGAAAAACGGCCATGAGAATGTGAAATTCCTATTTCAATATTTTCATAAATAAAGAAGTTACGGAGGAGACATAAAAATTATCAAAATCTGTATTTTTTGCGTATAAAAAAAAACGAATAGATTTTATCAAAATATTTTTTCACATTATAGTTGGCCTTGACAAACTCCACAATTGGTGTCATTTAACCGACCTCGTATCTCTCACCGTTAAAAAGATACCCATGGTGAGAGCATGGTAGGTGGGACACACGTTATTGCCGTTTTTTTCGTCCTCCATAACCCATTTTCTTTATACCTCCAAATTCGAAAACAACCTGAATATCATTTCATCGTTTTAGTGGAATATCTCATTGTGTCCAAAATAAGGATGTTTATCATGGTGATTTCCTGATTTCCATTTTTTTCTGAAGTTATTCAAAGTGATATAGAAAACAAAAGACACTTTCTCATTGCCACTTTTTAAGCTCTACAAGACAGCGTTGAAAGATTTTCCGTCCGACTTTTCATTTCAGAGGAACCATCATCAACTTTACCTCATGATAGACATCCTTATCTTGGACACCCCATATACAGTGCTTTTCTTTGCCCCTCCCCCCTTTATTTTATGAACCGGTCAACGAAAAAAATTGGAGTAATGAAATTGATGCATGAATACTATATTTCGGAGTAAAATTGACAGATGAACATTTCAATATGGCGACTGGGAACCATCTGGGGAAAAACGTTAAATGGACAGGGGGGTCTTGTGATACATTTTTTTGAAGCTCCTGACGAATACTTCACAATCCCAAAATATAAAGTCAATATCTTCACCTACTACAAAATGGCGGAACATTTAATAATTGCCTGAATACATCGACGTTTACTACATAATTTGAGGAAATAAGCTGAGTTCAGTTCAGAAGATACTCGAAATGTTACGTTACGTCGATATTTCTACAAATATTCATCATTCTATCTCGTATATCCAATATTGAAGTAGATGCAGTTTCCCCATAACAAAGTCTTAAAGGTGTCAAATCTGGCGAGCGGGCTGCCCATTCCGTAGGAACTCGACGGCCAATCCGACGACCAGGGAAATTATTATCCAAATACTTCTAAATTGTCTCGAGTAATGTGACGGTGTCCATATTGATGTTTGAATTCAGGCGACTTTGAAATGATCCGCCATTTTGTACTAGGTGAAGATATAAACTTTATATTCTAGGGTTGTAGATTATTCGTCAAAAGCTTCAAGAAGATGTATCACAAGACCCCCCTGTCCAATTATTTTTCCCCAGATTGCGCCCAGTAGCCATCTTGAAATTCTCATCTGTCAATTTACTCCAAAATATAATATTCATGCATCAATTTCATTTCCCCAAGTTTCAATTGTTTTTTGTTGACCCGTTCAAAAAATAAAAGGGGACGGGGGCATTAATATCATGAATACATTATCTTACTGAAAGGGTTTATTAAAAGTTTCACGATAAATCAAAATCATTGGAAGCATCCATTTTCAAGATGGAAAGTAGGTTAGAAAACCCGGAAACCTCACTGAAATCGTATCCTGAACTAATACACGAATCCGTGAAGAGCATATTATTCATATCGACTGATGATCCCCTCTGTTTATGCATAGATTTTTTGGTTGAAGCTGGTACCGTGAGATTTCACCTGTGCTCCCCACTAACATAAACTATTATGTAGACCGCTTATGACATAAGAATGAAGTTATGCCACTCACGAAATCGAACGGAAAAACATGATCCATGCATTTTTTCACCATTTCCCTTTAATCCCAAAACAACCCTAAAATTTTGAATGGTAAGTGGGGTCGTGTCTCGGGTCTTATGATATATCATTTGAAAGGGTAAGTACATTAACCTGATAATTTTAGTATCAATGGAAAATAAAAATAGTTATGATCAAACCATTTACAATTATCAGTAGTACATTTCAATGTTTGTTACTTATAACAGTGTTTTGCAAGAAGAGAGTGAACTGTTAGCAAGCTGTTGAGTTTTATTAAAACGTTATCTTCAACAGGTATTGAGAATGTGAATCATTTGCTTCCATATCGGGATGACATGCCTTCAATAACTGAGCAGTAAAATTAATTTGAAAATAAAGTTCAATAATTTCAACTCGTTCTGAAATTGTATAAAACATTTTTTTTTTAAGCGAAATCAAAAAACCTGCAAAAGCAACCAAACTGAATCAATAAAGGAACTAAAATAAACGATTGCCTAAATTCTTTTTCTACGTGCGTGCGGAAAAGTAACTTTTCCGATTTATTTTTCGTTTTGAAAGTTGTACTTTTCCGTACGATTTAACTTTTAGTTTTCCGCACGATTTCGAAGGAAATACCAGGAGACAAAACTGTTGGCACTAGAACCTACCCATAGCAGCAACAGTCGCTATAAACTGACAGTAGTGGCAGTCAACTAATAAGCATTTCAGACCAATCTACCTTCCTACATTCACTACACTAGTAATTCTCAGCAACGAAGTGATCAAGGCATTTCTGTATTGAGCCACACACTAACCAATCAAATTCAAATAAGAAACGACTTTTTTCGAGATGTTGCGGCATCTGCTATATTACAGCACGCAACAAACACAAATTGCACTTTCAATTTCAATATTTACCATCGTTTATGTTTTAGTTATTGTTATTCAAATAATCTTCAAATAAGTTTCCTACTATATCGATGGAAAAAATCTATTTCATTATTTTTCGGTGCATGAAAATATCGTGCGGAAAAGTAACTTTACCGCACTAGTACTGAAAAGTTACTTTTCCGCTCGGACATTTTCACATGGCCCCGTTGTATCGGTAACATGTTTGTGACTCCAAATGCAAATGGCATGTCAAAAAGTGATGTCGCGTGTACATCATTTATACATCTCATGGTTGGCTGGGGTGTAACTTAACCCCTTGTTCAATTCGAAAATGTTCAAGGGGTTGGTCTGCAAGGCAGGGAGTTGACAGGTGGTTGAAAATATTTATGCAAATAAGTAGATTTTCAAAAATAAAAATTGACCTGTCTGAGATTTTTTTCAAATTTATTTTTAATACGGAAATACGGAATTTAATGGGTTTCCACACTGTATTAAAAAAAACATCAATATGATACAGTCGAACAAATATTCCCAAATAAATATTTGATTGTTTCACAAGCCTTTTTATTCACTAGAAATTCCATCTTAAAAATTGAACAAAATTGGAAATGAACACAAAAGTCGAGTAAGTCATCTCAAAACAATTGAGATAATGAAATCAGCGTTATTGTGACTTCCACAAAAAAATTGAACGGAGATGACATCGGGGAACCCCCAATTTTATTTTGATCTCCTTACTATTTGATGTTGCCATCTGATAGTTTATCTTTAGCCTTCTCAGGGTTTTGATCATAAGTATTCAAATTAATGCCACCCTGTGTATTACCACAAATTCTATTGTATTTTTTAATATCACTCGGCCTGCAGGAATATAATTTTCTAACCATGCTTCTAGCTCATGCAGTTAACAAAAAATAGTTAATCATTTATAGTTATATCACATATGCTATACTGACCTTCCTTCAGACAACTTTCTAGCCTCCTGTTATTGAATGATTGTTCTATACCATTCAACCAAAACCTATTTTCTTGTAAAGAAGGACTTGCTAGAATTGAAGTTTTGGCACACATCTGTAAACAGTAAGTAAATAAAAAAGATTCAATAATAAGAATAATTGAGGTGATTAATATCTACTTACAAATTCTGTACTCAGAGTTCCACTGAGTGAGTCATTCAAAGGTAGAATCAGGTCTTCATCTCTTTTGCCCCCTATAAAAAAATAATATAATACTACAAGTGAAATATTATTTGTGTGATTAAATGATTTTCATCATCACATTCATTTCAGACCTCGAGAAAATACCTACATTGAAAAATGTTATTGGATTTTCTCGAGGATTTTCTGCAATGGCAATGAACCAAGAAACATATGCTGTCATCAAGAAGAAAAATAGAGACATACAGTGATAGTCACAATATATACCGAAATTGGATAGATTTCATTTTCAAATTATGATTTGAATAATGTTATTTAATAATATCAATAATGATTGATTTTATACTAGATTTAAGCAACATTCAATAGGAAGAGATTGATCTTGATCAGAACATTTCACTTACAATATTTGATGACGGCGATATTTACAGGTGCTATACATGTGACCACCTTCATGTTTGAGTAATAGGTATCTAATCCTAAAAAAAAAGTTATTGGACAGAGAGTATCTATATCTCACAATAAAAACAGATAATAATGTTTCAAATATTTTAAACACATTTCATTCACCTAATTCAAGAGGATCGTACCTGAGAAAATTATATAATAAAAGTAGTAGGTTACTATACTAAATTTAATATCGAATAATCGAACAACAAGAATTAGGTGATATGAACACAGCATTCATTCACACACAAATTGGGCTAAAATAATGAAAAAGAATTAATAGGAGGCCAAATTTTATCTGACATATAAACATTATCAATAACCTTCTTGACTGGTTGGACTAACGGTAATAATTCGTTAGATATATGACAAACTGATTAATGTTCATGATTATTTTTTCTTGAATCTCTAACGAATATTATGTACATGTCGATTCCATTTCTTGAAGGCCATTTTCCTGAACCATATCCTCGACAATATTACCTACCAGTTTTATGGCTAGGTAAAATTTACCAATTCTTTTTTTTCAGCTCTCCAGAATTGAAGAAAAATATATTTTCTTGTCATCATACGAAAAATATGTTAATTTTGATAGATCGAAATCATAAGTATCCTGGTTATACCGGGTGTCCCAAGTTATTGTTTACAAGCAATATGTCGCTTATTTGACAAGATAATCAGAAAATGAAGAAACTGGTTTGAATGGCATCCAAGCACATCCTTAATGACTCAAAAAATGGATTACATTTGACAGCCCTGTGGTAGCTTTTTTTCACTTCTATTTTCAAATGGCACACCCTGTATTTTATTCCATAATCGGTTAGGGATTATCATAACGAATTCAACGATACCGGTTTCAATAAAGTTATTTCAAACTATTACGGAGATATTAGCGTTCGAAGTTTCCATATGACCAATGGGTGTGCATGATTTAAGTGAAATCCTATCTCATGAACCGTTTCAAAGTTATGAAGCAAAAACGATTAGAAAATTTCAACTCAAGAGCCGTCTAGAGACAAAATTAAGCAAATTTGTGTCGAGGTAAGTTTGCTTTTATCGAATTGTTTTGGTCCGAGGAACAGGTATGTAAGTAGGTAGTAGTTTTTTTCTTTTTCCAACGACCTTTCAGCATTCAGGGACTCCCTGTTTATGTGTATTAAGAGCAAAACAGATGATTTGCACCAAAATGACACTGTATTTTGACATATGGCTATTAGGAAGCCGAAAAGACAAATTCAATTGATAGACAGTGACACACCTTGTGTTGGAAAATGTTTGAAGAGGAATGAATCTGCTCTATAGTTTTGAACATGAAAATGACAAATTACAAGACAAGATCATACTTTTATTTAAAGAAACAAGAGGAAATGAAAAAACTCAAGAAATAAAGGCATATCATATATTCCCCCCATGTATGTACTAAATATGCCAAATTTAAGTACCTACACCAATGTGATTTCACATAATATAATAAACAAGTAATCATCAAATACTTGAGTAATGGAAAGTGTGGACATATAGTCTATAAACTTGATTCTCAAGCTATTACCTACTGACACTGGGACTCAAAATACTTTAAACTACTCAAATTGGTTTACTTTATATCATGTAATATCATGTATAAAAAAAGTACTAAACAAGTATACTCTCTGATTATATTTGAAACAATTGATCAAATACTCAAAATTCTAGGATGTGTACACCCAAGGTCTATTAACTTCTATAAGGTTACCTCATAGTATAGCATTATGGTGCGGGGGTGCGCGGAGGGGCGTGACGTCACTGTTTCCCCACCGTGTGATTGTAGCATTGTAGATTTCGTTTTGTGTCACTGTCAAATGGTAGGAAAAAACTTTTGAATTTTAATTCGAAAGAATCGCGAATTTTAGATTTTAGAACATGGTGACAAGAAGACTGACGATATCTTTGAAAGAGGGTGAGAGGTTGTATAATAATATGGTGTAGTATTATTCAAGGCTGGTCACATCATAATATTATTATGTGTGGAGTCAAGAGTGGATATAGAACAAACAAATACAGCAAGTACAGAAGACTGTGAAAACAGAAATCTAGAAAGATATGTTCAGGTCCTCAGTGCTCCTATTATACAGACACATTACAAAAACACACAATCAAATTCTCATTGCAATATCACTCCATCAGGACTGATTTCTGTTGGCATTTAAGTACCTATATGGAGGTTGAGCTACTGATCAAGCAATTTTCAATAAAGAAAATTTTATTGGGAAGTCTGAACCTGATGATGGAATCATGTTGAATAAGGGCATGCTGACAAGGGATTTGAAGAAAAAATCTTGAAATTGATATGGCCATCATTTCTGAGAAAGAAGAAACAATCAACTAAAGAGGATTTTCTACTGGATAAATTGCATGATTTTAACTCAATGGTTTTATTTCAGTATCAATTTGGAAAATATTATTGTCTGAAAATGAAATGATAAGAAAATGAAGCAATAAAGAAGTCATCATCACAATTCATTCCATTTTCTTAATGCAATAAAAGTGCAACATAATGAAAATATCTTCAAGATATCTTCCTCCTATGTAAGTTTTGGAGAAAGAAGAATTATACAAGAAAATTAGTTTCTTTCAAGTTCATTAGGGACATTTTAGGGCCATTATTCCCAACTGAATTTATCCATAATAAGTGTGCCCTATCAAGAAATGGCATTGTTCCACAAAATATTCTGAACCATTTTCTTTACCTGAAAATTTGAGAAAATAATTAGAGCTGAATGTTATACACATCATTTAACAGACCTCTATGTAAGGACCTCAGTAAGGACACTTATTTCAATTATTTCCATGGTCTTCCTTCCTGAAAAATAATTTCATATGGAGAAAATCCTAAACATGGAAAATATTGGGACACAAATTTGTTTGCATGATTTGAAATTCAATATTATTTTCAATTAAAGTTTTGAAAGATCTTTGGATTCATATTCAACTCCATGCTGAACAAATTTATTTGAAAAATCCTTAGGAAAGAAGAAGTTGATTCCTTTTTTCCCAAGACTCCTTGCTACATGTAAAAATGAAGTAGCAAGTATATAGCTCAAATTAATTCAGAAATAATGTAAGTATACAGTTTTCATATTCCTGAGTACCATGCAATAGTTGTTTTCATTGAGTTCATTGGCTTCCAAACAAAAGAGACTGATAAACCCTGTTGTTGTTGAATTATATAAGAGGAGAATGATTTTAGGGGGTCCCTTTCCTTCTTTTAATAAGTGGGTTGCAGAACTATTGAAATGGTTTTGCTGTATATTAGATCTTTGATTGATCTACTCTCTTTTTTTTTTCACCACTTCTGTGTGTTATGTATGCAGCTTCACATATTCCAAGTCTTCAATCCTGAAATTTCATGTATTTTTTACCTGTGTGTGATAGATCAAAAGTGCACCTTCCTACCTGTCAATATGAGTCCCTATAAAATGTGTTTACAAAACCGTGACATGCCTGCTTCACAGGGACATTCACATTGCCACAGCTCATCATTTTCCTTTGGAATTATTTGAATTTCATGTGGAGGCTGCCCAAGAGCAGATGATTGTAAACACAGGCATTTTATAACATTTGTTTGGTCTATATCCACTCTTGACTCCACAGATAATAATATTATGATGTGACCAGCCTTGAATAATACTACACCATATTATGATACAACCACTCACCCTCTTTCAAAGATATCTTCAGTCTTCTTGTCACCAAGTTTTCAACTAAAGTATAAAATTCGCGAATTCTTTCGAATTCAAATTCAAAAAGTTTTTCAATCCATTTGACAGTGACACAAAACACAATCACACGGCGGGGAAACAGTGACGTCACGCCCCTCCGCGCACCCCCGCACCCTAATGCTATACCTACTATGAGGTAACCTTATAGAAGTTAAAAGACCTTGGTGTACACCTATTTAGAGTACTTTCTTCCTCATATTCACTATAATGCTTTCAATTGCTATATTTGTGAATATCTTGAATCACCTAGTTTTGCTTACTTACAGACCTATCATTGATTGTAATTTAAGTGAATTTCTTGAAGCACTAGTCAGAAGAGATCTTCATTTTGTGAAAATACAATCAGATTGACGCTGAGGTGATGTGACAAACATTTCATCAATATGGACATTTGCGACAAAATGTGAATACAGGGTGCCAGTCTTTCGAACTTCATCATGGGGATCTCAGTTACTATAAGAAATTTTTGTTCTAAAATTTGTTCTAAAATTTGTTCTATCCGTCATTCGGTTGCCCCCTTACGAGCAACCCTCAAAAGTCTTCGAAAGTCTTGTGCGAGCAAGGAATGACGGGGGCCTTACCTTTTAACGTGTGATCCCAAACACTTTCTTGGGCCATCAGAAAAATTTCTGCAGTCGACGGGGATCGAACCCACGACCGGCAAGCGAATGCGAATTAGAATATAGACACTCTGTCCGCACGGCTACCTGGCCACCCCATAAGAGATACGAGGTCGGTTGAATTAGGTCAAAGTTGCGCATTTTCATGCTGAACACTCATCTGCAAGAACATTTGATATGTCATTTTTAGTTTTTGAATTATTTGAAGAAAACGAAAATTTGTAATATTTGTCTTCATTTTTTCAAGCGAAAACCAAGACCTAGACGTTTCTGACTAGGACATTCCTTTGCACTTTTTCACGAGGAATCTGAATCTGTGTTTTCCATGACGTTCTTGATGCCAAGTTATAACACTAAAGTTTGTTTTTTCTCAAGAGCGCCATATTGGATATTTGCATTTTTGAAAAGTTTTTTTTTCTGATTACAATGATGTATCATACGATATGATCGAATCTTTCCTGTTGATGAAAATTGGGAAAAACCATTTTTGCGAAGTGCTTTGGAAGGAAGACCAACAAATTTGTTTAACAAACTGAATTAGATGGGTTGCCGAGTGTCAGATATGTTCCCTGACAAGGTAATTTCCATCAACGAATACTTACGTTGGCCAGCGCGGTCACCTGATCTCTCTCCGCTAGATTATTATTTATTGGGAACTATAAGATTTGATTTTCAAAACTGTACCGATCGATATTGATGAGCTGAGAAGAACCATAATCACCACTTTCAGGACTAAGATAAGAAGACATCTCGCGAGCAATTCAGAATCTGAGGAAATGCACAGAATTGTGTTTAGACTTTGTTTTGTTTTGCGAAGAATAAAATTCTAGCTCATTACGTCGTTCCTATTTCGAAACCATAGTTTTCAAGTAGATGAGCTTGACGAAAATGTGAATGTTCCAGATCCAAATTCAAATACACTGTCGAAATTCAGCTTGTTAAACAAAACTGTTGGCGTTCTTTCCAAAGCACTCTTCGCAATAATGGTTTTTATCTCAATATTAATCAACATGAAAGATTCGATCATTACGTGTGATACATCAACTGTAAAAATGTAAAAATCCAATATGGCGACCATAAGAAAAAAGAAAGTTGTGTGTTGTGACTTTGACATTAAGAGCGCCATGGAAAATACAATGACAGATTCAGATTCCTTGTAAAAAAGTACCTCAAGAATATCCCAGTCAGAAATGTCTAGGTCTTTTGGTTTCCCCTTGAAAAAATAAAAACGAAAATTAAGAATTTTTATTTTCAATAAATCAAAAACTAAAAGTGACAAATCAAACTTTCTTGCAGATGTGTTCAGCATGAAAATGTGCAACTTTGTATACTGAAGAAGCTAGCAAAGCCAGTTTCGATTTTCAACATGAGACACATCTCATAATTTTAGGCTCATTTTAGGCTAATTTATTACCCCACTCCCGAATTTTTTGCTCCTCTATATCATAGAAAAATCTGTCGCTTTGCTAGCTTCGGCCGAACTCAGCAAAGCCATTTTTGAAAAACAATATTTTTTTGATATCTGATATAGTGAGAATGTTATGCTCATTTTAGGCTAATTTATTACCCTATTCCCAATTTTCTTGCTCCTCTCTATCATATAAAAATCTGTGGCTTTGCTAGCTTCGGCTGAACTCAGCAGAGCCATTTTTAGAAACATAGAATTTCCAC